TGTTTTCTTCACTTTAGTGTGCATTTACTAAACCAACTTTCTCACTGAAAAAAGCTGTATTAGGGAGTAATACCAGACAACTAAACTAATCAGAGATAAATTCGTTTTGTGATTTGGGAACGGTCTAGTTGATTATGGTTAATTGACAGTGGATATGTGGTAAATAAAACTTGATCACTCTAACCTATTAATTATATATTTTCAAGGTAATCCATTATGGTTCGATTCCATTTTTTACTTATGGCGGAAGTCTTATAGATTGAAAATAATTACCTCAGTAATTATATTCAAAAAAGACATGTAATCCTTTATCTCTCTGCTGAACAGAGAAAACTATGTAGACGATTAGGCATACATTTATATAGTATATTTTAATTACATTTCTATACCATTGGAGAAGCAAAAACAGGAATTTAATAAGATGAGTGCAGAGGAAGAAGAAAATAATCTACCAAAAGTAATAATATTACTAATACACACATACTATTATTATCTTTTTGTATTCTAAGTCAATTATTGTAAATACTTTAAATTGTTGTGAAAAGACCTTGGCGTTGCTTTACTTGCATCCTACCATTGTTATTTAGGACTGAAGTTGATCAATGAATTTAAACTTCATCCCATTGCACAAACAGATGGCTATCAGGACTCAGTAACTAAGTGGATAAGGTGATAGAGTTTCAAGCGAACGGTACTGGATTCGAATTTCAGAGTGAACATCAACTCTGGGATGCAGATAGATCCGACTGACGAGTACCTAATACAATCAAACGCGCGTCGTGGACTTCACTGTTAGCTACTATCCATCTTTGCTTAAAGACCTTTAAGTTAGTTATCGAATTACCTAAGTATATTTTGATAGCTGTCTAATACTACGGAGATTTAAACAATTTGACAAGGCTACCTTCTTTAATAAAAATATAAACAAAACAAGAATTTCAACTATATTATTACATATAAACTATTATTTCCAAATTGTAAAATATTACAATTTAAATATATGCTTACCTATTTTATTACTGATAGTCATATAAGAGAGTGTAAATGTCAACTTTGAAACAATCCATCATTTAGAATTATACTAATAGTAATAAAGTACTTATGTAAGAAGGGATTACAAGAATTTGAACAAAGAGCTTACATATTTACAATTTTACAAAGTATATATGATCAATCATTAGATTTATAATTAAGAAGTAACATTTCGCTACTAGTTTTATATGTCATTCTTATGTTAAACATTTTGATAGAGTTTTGTTCACTGAGCTGGATGGTTTGGCGCTGATGAAGTTTGTGCTGATGATGTTCGTTCAGAAGAACGATGAAAGCTCCACAACCAAATCACCCATCTCAGAGAACAAAACTTCATCCAAATCATCCACCTGAGCTACAAATATTCTCCACCATCTCATGTTAAACATGAATGATTTCCACCATTCATGTCTTTCTCACATTAGAACTATTGAAAAGTTTTGTATTGTAGTAAAATAGTTAGTCTTTAATGGTTATCTAACTAAAGTCAACCAATAGAGTGAACCATCTTTTAACTGAACTAATCTTCTACAAATCTGACACACAATTAGCAATAATATGTCCACTAGTTACTAACTAGAAGAATTCATGATTGATAGGGTCTTGAAAAAGAATTTAAAAAGTACAAAAGTTGGAAATTATTTTTATCATGAGCTTGTAACAATAACAAAGTCATTAAAACTCACTAAACCTGGAATATCTAAAAACCATGGTCACCAGCGGATTACTTGGTCTTCAGGGTTTATGCTTACCACAAAATCTAAGGATCTTATGTCTGAGCTTAGCTGAATTTCTTATAGGCACGTGCTATAAATAGTTTCCAGAGTTGGTAAGACAAAACAACTTTCATTGTTCTTAAACTACTCAAATAAATGGTGATTTTATAATGAAAATAAATCGTTGAATAATATTTTATAGAATACTCCGAAAATCTATTTCTTTATGCCACAAATATAAAGGAAGAACTGATCTATGGGAATTATTTTACCGGTTAAACAATGCACTGGAACAAACTATATATATATATATATATATATATATATATATATATATATATATATATATATACATATATATATATATATATATATAATAAAACAATGAGTATAGATGGATAACGGCGAGTAGTGGAATCCAGGATGAGCGTTTCGTCCTATGAATAATAATAATAGGAAAATACAAGTAAGACAACACCAAGTAAATTTAAAACTTCACCCCATTGCACAGACAGATGGCTATCAAGACTCAGTAACTAATTGGATAACGCGATAGAGTTTGAAGCGAACGTTACTGTATTCGAATCCCGGAGTGAACATCAAATCTAGAATGTAGGTATATCCAGTTGACGTGTGCCAAAATAGGATAAAACGCACGTTTTGGATTCAACTGCTAGCCACTATCCATCTTTGTTTATAAAGCTTGTGACTTAAGGCAATCCGCACAGGATGCACATATGCCACACATGAGACTGATCAATTGCATTCTTAAATAACATTAGGATGATACAATTAAAATAACCGCTAGGGAATATAAACACAATGAGTATCATTTGAAACATTATGAAGAAAAATTGAACCTACGTACAGATTGAAGAATATGAATAATAATGATAATGAGTAAAAATTTTAAGTGCAAAAATTAATTTTAACATATTTGATGAATACTTTATTTTGATTGGTTAAAAATGAATAAAAGAAGTATTGGGAAAAAAATTTCTAATAACCAATCAAAAATCAACTTTTCTAAAGAAAATATTTGTTTAACTAAAATATACTACTTATTGCATATATTTACATATGTATATTATATAATCTCGACTTGTTTAACAACTCATTCGTAGACAATCAAAAGAGGAATAATAAGTGTACATAAGATGGATGATATGAAAAATGTGATTAAAATCTTTTTTTTTCAATCATGATTAAATTTTTATTTTAGTATATGGATTAATTGAAATAATTAAATTCACTCTAAGATGGATAATGGTTAGCAATGAAATCGATGACGCGTGTTTCGTCCCATTTGGGACTCATCAGCTGGATGTACCTACATCTCAGAGTTGATATTCACTCTAAGATTCTAACCCAGTACTGTTTGCTTCAAATACTATCGCATTATTTACTTAGCTATTGAGTCCTGAAAAGCAATTGCTTGTGAATTAAGGCAATATCGAGACAATCTGCACAGGATGCACATATGTCAACAAGTGACTGATCAATCGCAGTCCTAAACATCAATGGGAAGATTTAAGTAAATAATACCAAGTGAATTTATAGTTGACTATGTTTTGAAAGGGAATCACTTATGAAGACCCTGATTTATGACGAAACATTACATTTTACAATAAACAATACAAATCTAAATATATATTATTAGGAATCTATTATGTCATATATTTGCTTGATATATGTTGTAGAAATTCAAAAGTTTAGAACGAATCCACTTTACTCGTTTATAATTCTTGTGAATGATAAATGCTAGTAAAATAAAAGACTAGTACAATTACGCTTGAAAATCAACTGAACAGAACTTTAGAACGTTTATTGAATACATTTACAATATAGTTGTGATAATTCTTTTTGTAGAACATTGGATCATCTTCATGGAGTTTTGCTCTCTGAGCTGGATGGTTTGGTCTTAGAGCTTTCATCGTTCTTCTGGACGACATCACCAGCACAAACTCCAGATAGAATTATCTACAGAGTGGATGAGGTGTAATATGAAGTAAGATCACTCACTTTTCCTTTTATCTGGTAATGATAGCATATTTTCATCATTGCTAACCACTCTTGCTACCTTGGCCGTTGGTACAGGATTGTTTGTAGCAGAGCTTTGATAAACTATTTTCGTATTTCTTCCGTTTATTATGTTTTACTTGTTCTTAACATTTCGTCTCTTAATTCTTACATAACTACTATTCTACTGACTATTCATTAAAATATTTTGTTAGTTCTTTCTTCTCTTTTTATATGTTATGCAACTTAGCAACTACTTAATTTTCAAATAATTACTTTGATTATTATTAACCCACTTTCTTCCAATTACTCAATGTTAATATATAATCGATATGTCATGATATAATTATTACGTAACGTCGTCTAATCGATGAGTATTATATATATATATATATATAAACATAAGCGATGATGGATAGTGGCTAGCAGTGGAATCCAGGACGCGCGTTTCGTCCCCTTTTGGACTCGTCAGCTGGATGTACCTGCACCTCAGAGTTGATGTTCACTCTGGGACCCGAACTCAGTACCACTTCACTTCAAACGCCATCGTGAATATATATTTTAGTTTAGAGCCATGATCGAAAACTAATTGAAAAGAAATTTCTTCGCCCGATTCATTCCTTCATTATTTACCAAATGTCGAAATGGGAATTTTCACTATCTTTTACAACAAAAAAACACTTCAGATCCACACATGTTTCTAGTTGACAAAGTTATAAAACTTTATAAAAAAATTAACATTATAATAAGAAACATTATAGAATAAATGTAGTTCGCAATCATCGAAAAATAGAATGTATTGAACAGCGGTTTTTGCTTTGGTATAGATAATCTCAGTGATTAACACACAAAAACACACCATAGACAAAATCAAAGACATTTGCCCAACACTGAGAGAGTGTTAACTTTAGATCATTGAGTTAAATGATCTAATTCAATATGGGATGCAAATAGAGATTGGACAAACTTCCTAAACCTTCTGTTTTAATAATGTTATTATCATATAAGAGTGATTAAATTTCTTATGCATGTTACTTCAGAATACATGTTATGTGTCTTCGAAGAGATGTGATTTACTTTTAAATATAGAAAGTGTATTTCAATGGTTTTTACTGTGGTCCCTATTTCTATCCCATGTTTTCATGTAAACATTATGTAATGGAAAATTTTTAAGCTTAATGAAGCCAACTTGGAAAACTATAACACGTTTAGACATATTACGTAAAAACTTACTTCATCTTCTGTGTTTAGCTGTTCTCCAGAATGATCCACATCACGTTCGTTTTCCTTCCTAAAAACAAAATTTATTTGGTTCTTAATATTATTAAATGATGCCAGTCATACGATTAATGAGAATTAGGAACAACTGGAAAGTTGTTCAATCCATGGAACTAATGCATTCTCATACTTACTTGGACATGTTACCCCTCGTGGAGGAGCGTAGGTCAGCAACTACCAATCGCCATCCAACTCTGGGTAATCCTTTCCAATTCTTTCCAGTTGCTATTCGTTCTTTTGATGTATGCTTTTAATTCCCAATTCAATGTGTTCTTTGGTCTTTCATTTTTCCTCTTCCCTTTAGGATTCCAGGCTAGTGTTTGCTTCGCAACGCAGTTTGATGATTTCTGTAATGTGTGTTCTATCTACTTCCAACGTCTTTTCCTAATTTTCTCTTCAGATGGTAGCTAGTTTTTCCTCTCCCACAGAAGGCTGTTGCTGATGGTATCCGGCCAATGGATATTAAGTATCTTGCGTAGACAATTCTTTAGAAATACTTGTACCTTCTTGATGATGGTTGTAGTAGTTCTCAAAGTTTCAGCTCCGTACAGTAGAACTGCGTTGACATTCACAGTGAAGATTCTGACTTTGATATTGTCTCGCAGACAGTTGTTTTGAGTTCCATATGTTCTTCAAGTGTAGGAATATTGCCCTTGCTTTGCCAATAATCACCTTTACATATTCATCAGATTCTCCTTGTTCATCGATGATGCTACCCAGATACGTGAAACTTTCCACCACTTCCAGAATTTCTCCATCAAGTGTGATTGAGTTGGTGTTCTCTGTGTTGTATTTGAAAATGTTGATTTTTCCCTTGTGTTGAGGCCTACTGATGCTGAGGCTGCTGCTACACTAGTTGTCTTCACCTGCAGTTGTTCGTGTGTATGAGATAGAAGGGCTAGTTGATCTGCGATGTCCGAATCGTTTAGTTACATCTAGGTTTTGCATCGTATTGTGTGCTTTCCTTTAGATGTGAACGTCTCCATAATCCAGTCAACCACCAGAAGAAGGAGAAAGGTGAGAGTAAGCAGCCTTGCCTGACTCCAGTCCTCATTTAGAATGTGTCTGTCAGCTGTCCTCCATGCATCACATTGCACAGTAGTCCGTTGTATGAAGTCTGTATGATGATGACAATTTTATCAGCTACGCACGCCATAGTGTCGAAGAAAGTTCCATAATGTTCTCCTATCCGTGCTGTCAAATGCTTTCTCATAATCAATGAAGCTGATATACAGTGACGAGTTCCGCTCAACTGATTGTTCAAAATTATTCGTAATGTCGCGATGTGGTCTGTGTACAACTAGTCCTCACGTAATCCAGCCTGTTGATGTCGAAGTTGGGCATCTACCGAATCTTTTATCCAATTCAGCAACACTCTGCTGAAAACGCTTTCTGGTATCAATAGCAGTGTGATGCCTCTGTAGTTCTCACATCTGCTCAGATCTCTGATGAGGAATCCCTCTTTCCAGTCTGTCAGTGCCACTTGTCCTTCCTCCCAAATCTTTACGAATAGAACGTGGAGCATAGCTGCAGTTACTTCTACGTCTGACTTCAGAGCTCCAGCTAGTATATTGTCAGTTCCTGCTGCTTTCCCACTATTGATTTATACGATGGCCATCCTGATTTCTTCGATCGCTGGTGGGGTGACATTTGTAGGAAGGTCGGTGTGTGCTTCTTCGATGTCCAGTGGATTCAGTGAAGCTGGCCTATTCAAAAGTTCCTCAAAGCGTTCCACCCATTTGTTCTTCTGTTCTTGAATCTCAGTGATTGGCTTGCCTTCTTTTCCTTGACCAGCCTCTCTGTTTTACCATAATTCCCGACTAGTTTCTTTGTTGTGTAACATAACTTTTTTCATATTTCCTTCCCTTTCAGCTTCCTACGCTGTCGTTTCTAGATCTTTCACATATTTCTGCTTGTCGGCTCTAATGCTCTTCTGTACTTGCTTCTGTGTATTCAGCTTGTGCTTTGACTTTCTCTTTACTTGTTCGACTGTTGTGAATTGCCATCTTCTCTTTCTTCCTTCCTTGAATCCAAAACAGAGTTTCCATAGAAACCCATTCCCTATGATAATGATTCTTGAGGCCTACAACCTCCTGACATGTTGAAGTTAATGCTCCTTTGATATCCGTCTATTCGTCCTCCATAGTAGTTTCTTCTCTTTTGAGTACATCTTGTAAGGCTTGGACGTGTTGTTGAGAGCTATCTTGAATCTGTTGGATCTGTCAGTATTTTGAAGGAAGGTTGTATTGAACCTTTGTACTGCTGATTGTCTAGCTGTTCATTGCTTCTTCAATTTCAGTTTCATCCTGGGAACCACTAGGTGGTGATCTGAAACTATGTCAGCTCCTCTCCTGATTCTCACGTCTTCCATTGTCCTTCCGAATCTTTTAGTGATACAAATACGACTGATCTGGTTCTGTGTAATGTGACCCGGTGAGACCCATGTAGCTTCATGTATGCATTTATGGTGGAATATTGTGCCGCCTATAACGAATTTGTTAAATGCACATAAATTTGAAAATCTCTCACTATTCTTGTTCCTTTCTCCCAGTCAGTTCATGTCGCCCTATGATATCTTTATATCCGTTTTTGTCCATTCCGACTTTGGCATTTAGTTCGTTTCCTGAGCACTTCACTATGATTGATTGCAGACTCTCATAGAGCTCATCGTTATCAACGTCAGTGCTATAATTGAAACGTGTACAACATTGGATAACATTTATTATGATTCTCTACATCTTTCCTTTGAAGGATGTTTTGATGATCCTGGATCCATGAGATTCCCATCCTATCAGTGCATTTCATGCTTCTATGGACAGCATCACAGCAACTCCTTGAGTGTGTGGGGAATTTCCTTGTTTTTGACCAGTGTGTAGCAGCACCTCTCCTAAATCTTTCATTTTCTGTCTAGCTTGGGTTCAATGGGTTTCACTGATTCCGAGCACTGCCATGTTGTATCTTCTCATTTCTGTAGCTATTTGATTGGTCCTCCCTGTATTCCGAATTGTCCGAACATTCCATATACCTGAATTAATTGCTGCTGTGGTTGTTAGAAGCGGCATCAACCTCGTGACTTCCGAAGAATCTCGGTTTTCACTATGTGTAATAATTCCTCTGAATGAAGATCGTTCAACTAGGAGGATAGAGTCCTGAAGGCTTAATCTATCTGTTCTGGTTATAACTTTTTTAGCAAGGTTGTTTTCTACAAAATGGAGCTGGTTACCCCATGTCCAACCCTCCTAGTTTACCCATTCTTGAGACAGTAACTCTAGAGGAGCTACATGCGGAGTTGATGTATTCTCATAATTTGTGCATAAGATATTTATGTAACATCCACTCTGTAGTAATCCTGGAGTTTTAACGAGAATCAGTATTCTTTTAATGTAACATAGTCATAAATGAAGCAGTACACACAGAAGAAAATAATCTCCAGGATACATAAGGATCTTCGATATCAGTCAAAACACCTATTTGGTGTTTTCTTGTTTCAGTCAAATTCATATTGATAACAGTTTGGAGAGAAAAGCACTTTCACGAGACACGAAATATTAACAGAGCCACTCAGTTCAATAGTATACTAGGACTATTAATTTACGTCATCTTTCCATTAGGAACATTTTCACTTCCCAGTATACAAGAGAATTATGTGCTGTTAAGAAACTACCTACTTAATTATATTTCAATAGCTTAAACAATTATAATAAAATGTGAGGTTTAGATTTCAACCATTAAGAAATTTTTTATATTTTCTCAACATTAGCTATCTGTCTCAAGTCATAATTTTCTACTTGTTGTGGTAATTTTACAGACTATCCACTTACATAAACACTGGCTAAAATTTGCATCAGTTTTTTTGTGGTAAATAAAAGTTCTCGAGTGAACAAATCCACATACATGCACACGTATCAAAACTTACATTTCGTTAACTAGTTTTCTATCTCTGTAACCACGATAATTTGCTTGAATTCGAGTTGCTGCATTTTGTTCACGTAGGTGTTCAGTTTCTTGGCTAGCTAAATGTCTACGACATTCTGCTTGAATACGTACAGCAGCCTCTTGATGTTCAGCATTATTAATGTTGCACGTACCAGTCTTTTAGTTATTTTGTATAACGGAAAAAACATTTGAGAAATTAAAAAATAAGGGTCATCTTGTTTAAACTATGTAAAACTATAAAACGCACAGTCAGTTATTTAAAAAAATCAATGCAGATAAGCTAACATTTCCGTTTGCTTTTCTCGCCACTCGATTAAGCAGAAGTCAGTGGAGACAAAATTGAGAATTGCAGATACCGAGTCGGAAATCACGCAATAATGTTTCATGTCTTTCCTTTTGGATTCAAATATGAAATTTAGAAAGTGAAAATATGCTTTCTTGACTTTATTTTAAACTGCGTACAGAAAATTAAAAGTATTTTTAAAGTATGCACAGAAACGCATTAGAATCGGTCCTATTATGGATAATAATACACCGTTTTGATTATTTACTGGCACTACTTAAAGTATAACTAACCGATGATCTATACATATAGGCTTTCATTGTTATAGATAGAAGATCAAATCCTTCAACCATCTGAAGGGGATTTGATGAGGAATGATTCAATCGACTAGAGTGAGGATGATATTGATCATTTCAATCGTCTGTGACGAGCAACCAGATCTTAAGGAGTAATTATGTGGCTTAATCAATTAGTTATATTTTTCAGGTAAACAGTTCTAATTGTATGATATTTTAAATGTGTTCAAACAGTTACGTTATTGACTAAACGATGTTAAATGCTACTCAGTTCAAGGTATACAAACATGACTGCAAATGATTCAAATGAAAAGTAGTGTATTCGTCTATCATTTTAGTTTGTTTCGAGGATCAAGTAAATTATTTGTGTGCCTACTAGCTTCATCTGGCTCACGGTTTCCAAGTACCATGTCAGTTAAGCGTCTTGTAAACACAGCAGAAAAACAACATCGTGAAATTTGCAATCCTGTTCACCAAACTAATAATGTTTGATGATATATAAGTTCAAGCACATCCCAACACCAGTAATAACCATAAATTCAGGATCCAAGCCAATAAAGCATGAACGGGTTTATGCCTAATGTTATGTGGAGTAAAATGTGAGCAAAGTTTACGACATATATTTTTGTGTTAGCAGCCATATAAATTCAAAGAAATAGTGTAGTACTGTTGTGCATTCAAACGCGAGACACTTTCTTACTTATCTTATCAACATTTAATAAATTTTACTGATTCTAAATTTAAAACTACGAAACCATCTACATTGTTGCCAGTTTGTAACAACTTTAGTCATGTAATAGGTTAAATAAACGTCGAGATCAACCTGCATATTTTACTGTGAAGGCGAATATAATGCCACTGTTCATATTTTATGCTCTCCAACAGCTTACAAGTTTTAAAAACTGGAATTTCAAAGTATCATAAATGACAATTGTTACTATTATATTCATGAACCACCTAATATTAGAAGCCAAACTAATGAGTAGACCGTATCACTTATTTTTGGTGTTGCTTTATTGATTTAACATCAAACGTAAAATTCAATATTGTTTTCATCCCCTCTCAACTCACGAGTTTTTAAAGGAAAACTCTATTACGCGTACATTTCCATGGCGATTTTAAATGAGCTGATATAAGATAGACTGAAAATCTCAGGATGAGCTATAAGGAGGTCATAAAACTAGACACAAACAAGCAATTTTATAAGTCTAAAACGTTTGAATTATAAGTCAATTTATGCAAATGGCGTAAACTTGCTATGGTAAGATAAAACAGCTGGTCGGATGACGAACAGGTTAAAGCACAACAACGTATACATGCCTAACCATCTTCGCGCGTTAATTCATAGTGAAGTCTATTTGAACAAACTATACTGGTACTGAGTACTATGATCTTGTTGAACTGCTATTAATCAATACAAAGTCAACTTCAAGCTGAACTTTAGTGCACAAGCATTCAATGTAGTTCATATGGAGTTAACACGCCAAATCGTAAATGTCTCTGAAAGATCGCTTTATAGTTCTTCTCAAACTAGTAGGGAATAACACTTTGAACTTTTGTTTACTCTTTTAGATATTTTCAAAATATCAGGAGATGTACCGCACGTAATGAACAATATTTGACTACTCGGCTTGACAAACTTATACAGGAGGAAGTTGAGTTAAAAACTATGCTTTCAGAACTTCAAAACGACTACTGGTGAGAATTGCAATAATCTTATAGAACCTCAGAATAACTTTGTTGATATTCAACATTAATGCTGACCTTGCTAGTACTACGAACGTCACTAGCTAAAAGTGCTCGGTCAAACATCATGGCCACCTCACAGAGCAGCTCAATTTCGATATTTCTCTTCCACATATTCAGTTCGTTAGTCTCAGATTCACTAATTTCCGCCTCCACCAAAATATTTTGTTGTTACCAACTGTTGTCGTCTCTTCCTGCTTATTATCTGAGTGGTATACCTGAAGAATTCTAACGTCAGCACAACATAGTTCTGTAAAAGGAAAATAACTCGATGGAAGTGCATCACAGATATTATATTCAGTATATATGCACATATAATTACAATCTAAGAAGAGCTTGTCTCTACATGAACATTTACTATCCACACTGTCTTGTACTACTAAAATTCTCTGCTAGAGTATGTAGCATCGGGACTTCCTGCTGTCACATTAGAAATGAAATCCAATCTTCATCATATGACATAGGCCATCTAGGTTCCTATCTTTATAACTAAAAGTAGAGAAATTTCGGGAAAAAATGGTTTCAACAGAGTCAAATAACGCTCGAAACATACTCAGACTATTAACAAAAAATAGTAAACGAATCTACCTTACAAAAAAAGTCTTTTACAATATCCAGTTGTGATAGCCAATGGTTCACTGCATTAATTAAGATGGTAATACGAGTGATTTTCAATAAAAGCTTAGTAAAAACCAATGCATTGTTTTACATGTATCTTTCTCAAAAACATGCCAATATAAAATAAATTAATCACCCTGACCCCATCCTGATCTGAAAAAGCAATTTATTTTCAAAATGTTAACAAAGCCAGGTACTGTAACCATCATATTTGAGGTACAGTTTGATCTGCACTTATTTTAGGAGCCAAAGCCTAAAACTACATGTAGGTAGAGTTCACAAAAAAAATCAATAGTAAATCCACCTATTTTATTAAAACATTTTGTTCAGACCCAGGAAGCATACAGTAAAATCCGAAAGCTTTACTCTTACTACTGAACAAGGGTCTTCGGAAACTATGATATATATGACCAATTCTCTTGAAAATCACAAATTTTTCATTGGAACTTTAATTCAAAAAAATAAAGAACACAGCTTACACAATACGCTTCGCTGTTATAATACCGATCATTTAGTTTTGCACCAAGCTGAGCCAAATCTTCAATCCCAGTTTCTAAATATAAGTCTGATGTAATGTTAGCAATAAAACCTTCTCTTTTTAAAAGCAACCCTTCAAAATATTTGGCACCAAAACCATAAATATCTTTGGGTTGGTGTCTCAAAACTTCCCTCGCGAAGCCTTCCAATAAGTTTGGAAAACCATGTGGAACTCTCAATGTTGTATTCGAAAAAGGTACAGCCATGTTTTTTTCAAATATCAGCAGTTTCTATGACTCTTGAGTAGCTCAACCTAGAACATTTAAACAAATTATTTATACTACATGACTTTCGATTACTAAGATGCGGCACCGCAGCTAGGAGAGTTTGATTGATTGTGGACAGAATAGAAAGGGCTCCCGCTATGGAGGGCTTCCGTATGTAATTGCAGTAGATCACCAATCCCTTCAGTCTTCAATAATGAGGATAAGAGGTCGGTTGATTTTCAGTTTCAGTTTCAGTTTGAGAAGGACAGGAGGCTTGATGGCCTGTGTTAGTCCTGGCAATGATGGTCTCTCAGTTGATCCAACTTTCTTTTGAGAGAATCGACGGATGGAGCCTTAACCACATGCTGAGTTAATGGATTCCACTTCCTGATGATTCGATGGGAAAGTCGATAGTCAGCTGACAAGTAATTTGTTCTGGGCTTGTGAACTTTTTTGGAGTGTCCTCGTAAATTCTCTGTTTTGGAAGACAAAAAAAATGAGGGCATATCAGGTGCAAACTTATCACTAAGAGATTTGAAAATTGTAATCAAGTCGCCTCTAGTTCTGCGATATGACAACGGGAAAAGGTTCAGCTTGGCCAGTCGAGATTCATACGGAAGCTTCGCTATTCCGGGAACCAGCTTAGTTGCTGCTCTCTGAACCTTTTCCAGATGCTCACCGTCTTTTTTTAAGCAGGGGCTAGCCGCTTGTATGCGGTACTCAGGTTTAGGATGTACGAACACTGTATACAAAGTAAAAAACGTTTTGGCGTCGACATGACTAAAAGCCCTACGTATTGACCATAAGGTTCTAAAACCTTTGGCGGCTATTGCATGGCAGTGTGTAGTAATCTTTGGGTCTTGGATAACGATAACTCCTAAGTCATTATATGTCGGGATGACAGGTAGCTCAGTGTTATTCATCATGTATGTATCTGTACCATGATGACCGATATGCACCACAACACACTTGGAAGTATTTACCGGCAACTGCCAGGTTTGAGACCACTCAGGTCACTTCTTCAGGTCATTTTGAAGTTCTAAGCTATCACTCTTACAACGTATCGTTCTCCATATCTTGACATCGTCAGCATATAGCAAGACCGATGATGATAGGAGACGAGGAAGGTCATTTACGTACAAGAGGAATAGCACTGGCCCCAAAATTGTTAAACTTTACAATTCGTAGCACTGTGAATATCGAATCTTACTTTGAATATATCAACGAAATTCGCTGATATTACATGTTCTAGTAGAGAATTCCAGTAATTCACTACTCAGTGCTAGAAACATAACACCCTACATAAACGAGTCGATCTCAGTTTTTGAACTTTCTTAGAATATCTTCCCAAATTATCATTTCTAGATAAAAATAAAATGTAATACATATTACAACAAAGATAGTTCTCAATATACGATCAACCCGTAGCCAGGGGTAAATAGGTTGAGGCACCGTAGTTTGTCTTCATAACATAGTTCAGAGAGACCTTTTATCATTCTGGTCCCTCGTGGTTGAGCTTGTCCTGACATATCCGCTTCATACTTGAAAGAGAAACACAATGCTTGAATCTCATAGTCCGAATGCCGCGACCCTAACAACAGACCATCGTCCAATAAGAGTTCAGAAGTCATTCATTTCAAGATGTATAAAGGTAGAAATCAGCAAAAATACTGTGAGATAATTAGCATATTTAAAAATGTTTTCTGTGGATAATGACTCCCTGTGACACGTCCTCTTATGTCAGTAGAGACTTCGGACTATTTATTCCAAACACAGTGTATTGTTCTCCTCCAGAGGGGTTGAAATACAGGTAAATGGTTATCCATCTGTCAGTGCTGACGATGATCAACTTGTTAAATGGATGCTGGGTTGGGACAGAGTCAAAGCAGAAGTATAGTTCAGAAAACCGCAATGAACATACTTCTTACACTCTTCCACACTGAACATTATGCTATGATGCAGAACAACATTTGTAAACAAACTGATTTGGATCAGTGTGCTTTCTTAACTCAGATCGAAGTGGGAGTATTAACAATATTCTCGTTGTTTTGAGAAAAGGTGGACATTTGCTTAGGTATTTAGGTTATCTTTATCCTTTTCTACGTTTTCGGTGCGAGATCAGTTGGGAAGTATCTGTTAAAGATTCCCGTACGTGGATAACACAGTGCATCAGCACACTTCTTCAGGAGAATGTTTTGGATTTCATCACATCCTAAATATTCAGACGAGTTGAGTGACTGTAGACATTTTCACACACCAGCTTTTTTTGAAACCTAAAGATTAAGGAAGCCTAATATCTAATAACTGGCATACAAAAGAATTATTTACGTCACAAACATTCAGCTGGTTTTCGTTTCTAATGTCTCGCTCACCGTAAGCTCCTTAAATAGTTTACACATACTTGGAGAGTTTTTACAAGATAGGAGCTTCTGAGTAATCATTGAGTTTAAACGTCTAATCTCTAGGTTTATTGGACAATTTAGCTTCCTAACTTTAGTGGAGCTTTTCTTCTTGTACATTCTTCTTCTACGCCCTGTAATCATTTAAGCTGCAGAAATGTAAGTCGATCAAAACTAAGAAAAATTGTTTCGGTAGGATAGCGAATATAAAACAAAATTTAAGACAATAAGCATTTTCCAGTAACTCTTCTGTAAATAATTCTCAGCTTACCGTACGAAACTTGCTTTTCATATTTTGGACACTTCATTTTCAGCGATTAATGCACTTGATTTTCTTTGTCTGATTTGAGGGTGTAATCTTTTCAAGCTTGCATATGCTTTCGGTGAAACACAAATTATACAGTGATCAAAACTAAAGAGTGGAACACGTTTACGAGCCATTCATGTCTCCACATCAATAATGAAACTAGATATAAATGGGTTCCCAAACCAGTGAGAAAATCTACTAGATTTCGGTGATTTAGTGACGAAACGAGACTACAATCACACAAATTAAGATTACCACATACAACTGAAAGCGAATCATTAAAAGCAGTAATAGGAAACACAATGAATTCGTCAGCAAATAAAGCTAGTGCAGATGACGTACAGTCCAGAGTCACGTAGATGTTGTTAACATAAATAGAATTATATTTATTCAAATATTTTGAGCGAAGTTCTAAGATTAAACAGCCTATTAAGCCATCTGAAAACTTAAAGCATGCAAAAGTAGGTCCAGAGAAGTTCACATTTACAATTGTAGCTTCTTTGCTGCTGCATCCTTTTCACTGATCAATCTATCCAGACGATAACTAATGAAATTTTGTAGCGATACTAAGCATTCGTCTCGCAAATTACTTAACCGGAATTCCTGAATTGTGAATACACCACAATCCCTCCTGAATAGGTTATGAGGTTGATGGCCATAATAACGTGTTGTACATCTGATTTCGATGTTTTCCCACTAGAGTTTGTGTTGATACTGACCTTAGTCAAACATTTAAGAGGGTGTCCACGAATGTTTAAGATGCTACACTGTGGTGATCATAAGTATTTGACTTATCATACGAACTAGGAATTCCAGAAATAACGCCATTTAGTCCAAGAAGAACTAATTGGGCGCAAACTAACATGTTGTATTTGGAATTCAAAATCAAACATACAAATGGACGATTAGTTCATACAAACACCACATATGCGTCATCTCTGTAATTTAATAGATAGAGATTAATTGATTTGAAGCTCTTGTCATAAGATACACATGTAAGTCCTCGAACTGGTTTCGTGGCTCTTTTTTATATACTTTTTTGTGTTTCTTTACCTCGTTGGTTGGCTAGACTTTCAAGGAGAAAGATAGCTAGTTACTGACCAGTCATGTTATCGCAACCGGAGGCTGTTCTTCGGTAAGATATTTTCTAATACCAAACTATAATTAGTGCTATGAAATCCAAGAAACAAAAATTTCATGAAGTTAGAAGTGATAACCTTGAGCTGCGGCCGCAAATATTCAACTTGTCCATGTTGGATTAAATCAAGAATTATGGATATTGTGTGTGTTGGTGATAGTGTAGTGGCATTGACTTCAGACCACATGATCCTTGAAGCTGCGTGTAAAAGTACTGAGAGGACTTTATTTCATCAATTAGCACGGAGAGAAGGTCAGTGATGGTGAAAGGGGAAACACTTAATCGGTGCATCATGGTTCGGACATGAAGGCATGATCGACCTTTGAAGTTCATTCACATTCAGATTAAATATATTAACCTGTTACCAGCCTATATGTGTTCTGCAGAAGTAAGATGGTCGTTGGAGGTAGTCAACAGGAAACCCTGGACCCGGCTTTCGTGCTAAGCATATTCCTAATATTTACGGTGGGGTATGTGTAGTATGGCGTCGAGTCGCTGTTGACTATGATCACCACTACAGGAAGACTACGTGCCAGTTAACCGATAATATCCTTCGTTGGCCAAATATCAGAAGGCAGTTGATGGTTGTAGTCGTGATGTTTTTTTTTGGCGATCCCGTGGTATCGAAAGAATACCGAGATCGTGTCAGGTTACAAGTGTGGTTACTGAGGGTAACCGAACTCGTGCAAGGTCACAATCAACGGAAGAATGTATGTATTGTAGTATAGTTAAACAAACAATTACGGTAAAACAATCACTAGTACAATTGGTTATAATAATAATGCTTTCCATTACACCAATCGCGTTCTCTTGATAAAAGTAGGTCACTACATATGTCAGAATAGATAATGATGTGACTTCAACGTAAGCACTTACAGATTGGGCGGTCATATATGATTATGCTCTGGTTCGATATTAGTAGATTTGTCTTTGCCACTATAATAATAGACAAAAACCCAAAATCACAGATCTGTCATGATGTGACTACCTGGTCTATAAGACCTTACATGGAAGTCACATCATTATCTATTCTAACTTTTCATATCGTGACAGTCAACAATCCGATTTTCAGCACTTTGGAAGGACACATTTGGGCTGGAAATAAAATGGAATATTTTAATACGAATGAAGGATTGTTACAAGGACCATCACGTCTGCTTCTCTTAATGTTACAT